GTCGGATCCCTGAGGTTGGAAAAGACCTGATGTTGGTGCGGGGCCGTTAAAATTTCCCCTCCCAGTCAGGGATGGGGGTGTCTTCCCTGCAGAGACACACACATCTGGCTGCTTTTGCGCTCCGAAATCAACTTCTGTGTGTATTTCACAGGGAAGGAATGATTCAGGCCTCTTGCAGCCCATGGTCCTTGCTTTCAACCTAATGTTACGCCATTGTTGGTGTTGCTTTACCGTGGTTTTGCTGCAGCGATGGAAGCGGGCCCCGTGGTGACATCAAGGCAGCGCGAGGCGGTGGTGCACGGGGTCCCCACGGAGGTGGTCTGCACGGCCTTCTCCAACTCCGTCCTCGTGGTGGTCACGCAGTACGGCAAGATGGGGACAATCGTCTACGTGGACCCCGACACCGTGGGTGACAACGTGGGCAAGCCCTCGCTCACCACGAGGGTGCTGCTGGGCAAGGACGAGGTGAGCGGGGACAAGGGTGAGGTGTTGCAGGTGGGGCCGCAGGAGTTGCCAGGGAGTCGAGGAGTCACAGCTGCGAAGCGATGTTTGCACAGCGGTGAGATTAATTTAAAAGTGTCTTCTGAGAGAGATACACGCACGCTCTTCTGCTCTTGGACATTAAAGTTTAACTAAACGTGCATGGTTTGGGGATCTATTGTTTGGGGATCATACAGGATATGGGTTGCTTTGCTGCAGTTATGGAAGGTTTGATAAAGCTCTTGTTGATTTAAGGGTTGCTAGATCAAACATGCAGCCTTTGGTAACCATTTTTTGGGGGTTGTGTTCCAGTGAGCTTGTTTTCCTCTTCAAGCCCTTCTTCTCACCCCTGCCCAATCTGTGCCAGCCCAATAATGGACTTTAGTTGCCCTTTCCTAAGTGTGCCTGCCAGCACCTTCCCTTGACAAAGTTTAAATTGTTTTGCTTCAACTAAATGAGTTTTTATCGACCGTTTCACAAAGCTGGAGAGAAAGCAGAAGAAAATGTATTTCGCAAAGCGTCAACTAGTCAAGCATTAAAACAGAAAGTTACAGAGCTACAGGGTTATGAGGCTTTTCATCAGGGTTGCAGCTCTCAAATATTACCTGCTAACCTTAACAAGAAAAACTTCAGCAACACAAGTTCCTGATTCTATCTGTGGCTTCCCCTTATGGAGGTCATTTTTCAGCAATAGCCTTCCTGCTTTGCTTTCCCTGGCTTGATATCTGCTGACATCTCCACCCGCAGGCCGTTACTGTGTTTTATTTGCAGTTGGGAAGTGTCTTTACTTACTTCGTTACATACTATTTTAAAATTATTTTATCAGCTTGATTTAAACTTCAAGAAAAGGCTTTCACCAGTTTGTTGCCTTCCTGTGTGACTCAGGTAACAGTCCCTTTTGGGATAGTGCATACTTCCAAACCACACGGATAGCTAAAATCAAGTAAAATCATCCTTCTGATAAATACTTATCTGTGGGTGTAAATAAAACCTAGACAAGCTGGATGTTCTTATTAAAGAAACCTCATTAATGAGATTTTATTTCTTTTATTCTTTTCTTCAGCCTCACTACTTATTTCTGTTTATCATTACTCTGTTAAAATGAAACCAACATGCCTTTTACACGTGGTAAAGGCTGTGTGTGCAACACCATTTTGGGTTCTCTAGGAATTGTAAAAATAACAGGTTTTATTCCAGAGCTTCTCAGCAGAACTTACCATCTTAAGCAACAAGTTTTTAAAAGAAAATTGTACTTGGAGGCTCCTGCAGAAATCTGGCTATGATGGAAACAGAGGCATTTTGATCCATTTAATTTGATATTTGGTGATGTTGTTTGGTCAGGAGGATTAGTGGCAGGAAAGATTCTCCATACTGACTTTCCAGGTTCTCCAGACTGGCACAAAACTTACTTCAGGCGTGGCGTCAGTTAAGTTGTTTCAGGTTGGTTTGGGTGGCTGTCACTCACAGGTCCAAACTCTTCAAATTGGTTGAGAAAGTGCTTTGTAAAGTTCCCTGTCCCGTGGCTTTGCCGACCAGCCAAACCACATCTCTGTTTCTAACCTTGTTGGAACCGCCCAGCAAAATGCACGTTTGGTCTGAGTCCGGTGTTGGCGGGTTCTCGTCGCTCACTCGTGTGGGAGGGCTCTCTCCCAGCTGTAGGAGCGCACATCTGTATACCTTTGCTTTTCAGCCCCTTGTTCATGTTTGTGCCAAAAACCTGGTGGCGTTCGTCTCTCAGGAAGCTGGGAACAAACCTGTGCTTCTCGCCATGGCTTTAAAGGACAAGACCGTGGAAGGAATACAAGCTCTCCGGGAAGTGATCCGAAGTTGCCAAGTGTGGTGAAGTTGTGCCATCTGGATTCAAGGAAATGATCTTGAGTCCATGACTCATCACCACTTATTTAAAAGGACAAGAAATGAAAATGATGGAATGTCTTTGTGCTGGTTTTGGACGTCCTGAGGAATTTCATGAATTTTGTCTCTACTGTGTAGAACATTTGTGGGTTCTGTTAACTGTGACAGGTTTGCGGTCCATATAGTCAATGACAAGACAAGAACTATGATCTCAACGTTGAAGAGAAGTATTATTTTTATCACGTTGGGTGGGATGTGTGTTTGGGAGACGGCACGGCTCTGCGTTTGTGTCCTGAGGAGCGATCGATGCCAAGCTCCGTAGCTACGCTGTACCGCAAAGGGGGAACACCCAGTGCAGAGTGAATAAAAGAAACATTGACGAATCTAATTTTACCTGTTTTATTTTTTGCTCTGTGAAAATCACTTCCAACTGAAATGCAAGCCTTGGTAACAAATCAACAGCAATTGCATAATAGGAAGGATTTTCTTGGCTGTTTTTAAGGAAATTAGGCCTGTATAAGTGTTTTGTCCTTATGTCGGCCCCTTTCCTGATGTAGTCTGAATCTGTTTTCTACTTTCACTAGGATTTTAAAGAGAAGCAGATAATTATGCTCTGAATTTCATGAAAGCTGCTGTCAGGGTGGGAGACAAGAACCCAAATTAGTGTGAGAGAACAGACAAAGTAACAGTGGCTTATGGGTTTTGTGGTACCAGCACATCGGAGCGGCAGCACATACAGAGCTTGGACCATCTGCAATGAGCTGTCCCTCTTCTAAAGCACCTGTCGGAGGAGACCTGGGGACAGAAGAGTTTGGGGGCTTACACAGGGGTGTTTCTCCTGAGTCCATTGAAAAAAAAAAAAAAGTGAAGTCGTAGGAGTTGATGTGACGCCCGACAGCCAAACTTTTGCAGTTTGCTTGGAAAGCACATTTGGTTTTACCTCTTGTAAAGAATAACACCAAGTAGTAAATTTTTAAGTGAGCTGTTACATGCTTTTGTCACTTAATGAACTTAACTGAGCAGACAGAGGCGAGGTTTTAGATGCTGGGCAGGGAAGATTTATGCTAAGACCCGCCGATAGCAGCAGTATCAGCACAGAGCCTGTGCCTGCCCCACATAGATCCAGTTATTGGGTCATTTCTGCTGCTGAAAAAATCCCCTACAAGTAGAAAAGCAGAAAACGCATTTCGAAAGGACGCTTTTCTCTGAAGTAGAGGTTATTTACAGTCTTTAAGGGATTATGAGAAATGAAACTTTTAAGTACATCCAAACACTGCAGGTTTGTAGCTGCCTTTCACAAGAAATTTCCTCTTAAAATAATTTTCTGAACTGTGCCTCCAAGAATCAAAGATTTGCATCTGTCAGAACTCCAAATTTTCCCTTTTACACTTTTTTTTTTTTTTGTCTAGGAGAGCTTAGAGAAGTGTGTGGAATTTGTTAATGTCGATCTCAGTTTGCCAGTACGGATTCTCTCCCAACACAAAATTCAATGTATTTTCCAAATCATGTTGCTCTTATGATGTCTGTAGCTCCAGCAACTTGTGGAAAGCATAAAATAATTAGCAAACTCAACATAAATCACATCTTCCATCCTAGTGATGCAGTGGCATACCACCGCTATGCCCCGAAGACCTGAGTGTTACTACCTAAAAGCCGACTACGACTTAATCCCCTTAATGTCGTGGTTCTGTGTGCCACGGGGTCTGCACAATGTGGTGGGTAAAGAAAGGGTGTGGAGGTCTCTCCTGTTTGATGCTCAGAGCCAAGAAAGACTATCTTGCTGTGTTTCCACGGGTGATAAATTAGACCATGAGCAGTTGGTCCTTCGACTTTGCTCCTCTCTGCTCTGCAGTAAACCACGGGGAAGGGCTGCCCCAAAACCCAGGCACAAGTCTGCTGGTGCCACCAGCTGCCTGCATTTTAGTCATCCCTGTCTTCCAGGTAAGGATTAATTCCCAATTGCAAGAAAACCTGCCTTTGCCGCGCAGGTAGAGCTCTCAGCCACAGGACGCGCGCCGGGCAGTGACCTCGGGCTGCACGGTGGCTTTTGCATCCGTGTGTTTGCTTTCCGGGCGTGGGCGCCAAGTGCGGCGGACTGGAAAGGTAAGTTTGGTAACTTTTCGGCAGGAGGCAAAGCCCGCCCTGCTGCTCCAGCTCCCGCAGGGGCCCCGGGGTG